CGTGAGCAAATCCCAATTATTCTCAGAAAGTAGAACTTGGATTTGACCCAGTACAGATCCTAAATTGTTTAGATGGTCAGTAAGCACACTTGAAATGATGCCTCCTAAACCTACAGATTGTGAAGACACTGATATCCTATGTTGACATTCATAAGACTGGACAGAACCAATTCACAACCACACACCCAGTCACACAAATTGTTCATTTGAGTGAAGGGAAGAATCAACTAAACGCTTATATTCTCCTTCTCACCCAATACCCACATTTAACAGAGGATGGTAGTCTATTTTGATGCCTATCTGGCATTAATCCAGTATTGCCATATTAAATAGTGGCAAGAATTTCTCAAAATCAGAAGGCATAGCTTTCTCTCCCCCCCCCCCCCCATTCTTTTCATACAGAAAGTCATATGAACACTATGCTGAATTAGTGGTATAACTTCATTACAGTATAGGGAGGTATAATTAAACTTAATTCCATGTTTTATTATGCTTTGTCTACTATAAATATAATCAGCATCTGCAGTCCTCCCATATGAAAAGTAAATCAAAGCTAGAATGCACACCAATTTCTAGCTTATTTAATACTCTGTTGCCCAACAGTATCCATCACATTCACATATTCTTGCTGTGTCTTATAATTTTATATTATTGCTCTTATTTGTTTGCCATCAATCTGCATGTGGGTATATCAATGAAATGCCATATTTTCTTCAGACTTAAGACAAATTAATAAAAAATTGTGCTGTACTGGGTCAAATCCTTTACTTCATGAACTAGACTTCGAATGTGGAGGAGATAGTTGCACTACGAGGAGCTCAATCCTCCCATCCATAGTCAGATAAGACTCTTTTAATAGACATTAATGTCTTCCCTCTCTTGTTGAAAGTATTCTCTCAGCCGTTGATTTTAAATATTTAGAGTGCAGGAGGCTTCAGAGTTGCTCATAAGAACCCCTTTTGGTAGTTGACCATGGGGGGGGGGAGCGCTAGAGAGAAGCAGAGGGTAACACTTCCCCAACAGCTCCTCCAACAGCAAAACAAAAGAATATTGCTGACTACTATGTAAACCATTTCTCAGCTGTTGCTAAAGTGATAATGTGGAATCTGGGGAGTGTTGTAAATAACTTTGACTTTCTGAACAACTCTAGCAGCAATAGAGAAACTGGTGTGCAAGCTACCGAGTTGGCGGATGTACAAAGCTACTACCACACACTTCAACTTATTGCTACCACAGTTAAACATCTCTACAAGGAACTTAGGGATCTTAATCCTAAAGTGGACTCTATTATCAGAGCACAGGAGGAAGTCAGGCAATTGAAGAAGACCACCAGTGAACTATCCTTGGGTAAATTAATTGCAAGGAGTCTACTCTGCTACTACACAAGATTGCAAACATGCTGCTTTCCCACAAAAATGTTTGTCAGTTTGCTACTACAGAGGAACACTCCCTCCTTGGAGTACCACTCATTTTGCCAGAAGGCACCTGCAAAGTCCTGCTCAAGAGAACTAGCCCAGATTCAGTGCAAATATACATACATACATAGGAATTAAGAGATTATAATGTCACTTGCCCCATAATAGGATTGTTACACTAAAATGATGCTCTATCCAAAATGATGCTCTTGTCCCATAATAGGTTTGATACACCAATATATTGCTCTAAAAACATAACAAACCCAGAGGAAAATATGACCTTTCTTCAGAGACACCTGGACACTTTCCGCTCCCTTACACAAAGGCCACAGAAGTTGCTTGATGTACATGTAATATTGATAAATTTTCAAGGAGACTGCAGGTGTGATGGAAAGCAAAAGAAATGGGTATATCCTCATGGATTTTTCTCTGTTGACTTCCAGTCTACAATTCAATCTGGAAATCACTATAATGGCTGGGAACCCCAGAGCTTTATGCACACAAACCACAACTATTCTACCATCACCTTTTTTTTAGCAGAATACAGTCCCTTCCATCCGCTGAAACCTGCTCTTAGGAATTGGAGCCATTTAGAGCTCTAAATTAGATAATTATTTCTTGTGAGCATGAGAAAGTGTTCTTTGATGGCAGTGGACCTCAAGCTATTTGATATGGGAGATTGGCAAGTGTTTTCCACTCAATGTGCCAGAGACCAATACTACAATTGTGCCCATTGGTTACATCAGTTTCATTTTCCCATCTCACCTTGGATTAGTAGCTGATGGCTTGTTGACTGGCACCACCCTGTGGACCACACCTTTATGGAACACATTGAATCCCAGTCAACATTTTAAATATGTAGCATGTCAGCTTTTACACTCTTTAGTGAGCAATCTTATATTTTCAGAAATGGCCTAATAAATGTGGTAGGCTTTATGTTCTATCAAGAGAATGGCAGCCACAGAAGCCATCTGCTCCTTCCCAGACCTCAGCAAATCCTTCTGCAATTAAGGCTACTGGTAGAGATGAAATGGAATATGGGTTCAAGGATTCAGAAACTTCCTACTCCCCTAACATTGCCCATACACAGAACCAGAAATCAGGTTTTCCTGATGTCTGGCTAAAAGAATTGCTTCCTCTTGGTACCAAGGCTAGTGGGGAATGCCTACCCTTCTTTCCTGGTAGTTAAGCCAGTAATTGTTACTCCATCACAAATATCATTCCACTATGTCAGAACTAATCCTTTAGGATTTTTTTTCTCATGATGTCAGCTGAAGAATTCAAATTATATCAACAACACTGAATAGGGAGCAAGACAATTCACTCACATCATGCATGCTGTTGGCACAAACACCTCTTTCACTATTGTGGTTATGAAAAAGAAGCAAGCTCAATATTTCAATCACCTACAATATTTATTATATTTTAGAAAAAAAACCCACTTTTCATTTCATTAATAAAAAGAAGTGTGCTATTGAGCAAAGTTAATGATCTGCTTACACAACTATCAAATGTTACAGGTAAAAGACCCCATAAGAAAGCATGCATATTTGTAATTGTTTCCTCATTATCTCTTTTTCAAAAAGGTTTGTTTCTGCTTTGATTAATCTATGGCCAATTTACAAAGGTCATAAACTCCAATAATGAAATGCAGTTTTACAATGGATGTCGCACTGAATAGTCTACAGAATGTAATTCTTGTAAGAAAATGAAATCCAAAGTTGAAGGATGTTAATGTTATTCAATTAGACATCTGATCAAGACAGCATATTAACCAATGAGTAATATAAATGTATCTGAAAAGGAAACAGGAACTGTGATCCATTGCATACATTATCAATACAAAACTCTCTCATACACCAAGATTTATAGGACTAATTTGAATTGATTAAGTACATAAAAAGAAGACAAATTCAATTATTTGAAAAGATGCTAGCTGTGGTAATTTTTAAGCATTCACTATTGTCATGTTAAAATATTGTTAGTTCTATTGCTAAAGTTTCTATAAATTTTTCAAAATGATTTACAATTTTACTAAATTCTGTTCATTCTAAAGGTTAAACTTCTCTTGCTTGCTAATTTCCAAGTGGTCTTTAGGTCAGCTTGACTTAAACTGTAGCTACACATATTTTTGTTATAAAAGTATTTATCACTCAGCCACTGAACCAGATAAATATGTGATGCACATATTGAGCAGTACTTAATGCGCATGAGTTGTGAGATTCTAAGAAGGGAAAATTACATTGATGACACTTAATTATTTCAAGGGAGAATCTGCCTCTCTAATTCCTCAGAATACTACATTTTAACATTTGTATATCAAATTATTTTAAATTAGCTTAATATTAATAAATGCACAAGGGAAGATGACCTCTCACCTACAAAGGAACGTGACCTGAAACTATAACCCTCTCCTCCCCCCCCCCATGCTCTAATATACATGTTCTTTTGTAAAGCACATCCGTTCTTGCAGAGTTGTATTCAACTCCTTACATTGAAGGAATTAAATTCTTTAGTTATAGTGTAAGTGTGGAAAGGGTAATAAAAGAAAGAGTTTTGAAGCAGTTTGTAACACTGGGAACTCACCTTAGCTACTTGGGCTTTAACTAAAAACAATGCCTCTGTTTTATCAAACATGAATGCGCCTACCAGTGCTAATCTGCTACATTTCCTTTAATGCAGAATTCATTTAGTAAATTACACCCAAGTTCGAAATGAGCTGTGTTACATTGCTGCCTTGAATTACACAAAAAACCCCACAAAATCACCCCCCCCCCGAAATCTAAAAGGATTAGCCAAAATTTTGATGGCCTGGTTCTGCCCTTCTGTCTCATGCCAAGAAGGCTCCTGCTAGCCTTCTTTCAGGAACTGCAGTGAGAATGTGCCAGCTTCCATACTGTGGAGAAAGCTCCTACTGGTTTTTCCAACCAAATCCACTTCAAATCAATCTTTGACTTGAATAGGGTTCATTTGGATACTGCAATGGTGGGTTACAGATTTCATGTCATTAGGCAGTAATGTGGTCTAATCTGAGGTTTAGTGTAAACTTTAAARGGGCTATTGGGGCTAGTGTTCATTACTCTGGATAGCTCCCACAAAGCTCAGATTAAACATAGAGCAGGCATGGGCAAACTTCAATCCCCCCCCCCCCCCAGTGTTTTGGACTTCAATTCCTAACAGCTGCTCAGCTGGCTGGGATTTCTGGGAGTTGAAGTCCAAAACACCTGGACAGCTGAAGTTTGCCCATGCCTGACATAGAAGAATATATTCCATGACACTAACATGGAAACCATCAGTGGATACTCCTTGAACTTAATATTTGTAAGACAAATGAAATCCAAATTCATAATTTGTCTTATGAATTTCATAAGACAATTGATAAACAATGAGCAACTCAATATATTTTGAGAGCAGACAAAGGTGGGACTCCTAGTGTAGGACAACTCCAAATCCACTGAAACTGTAAATTGATCTTAGTCAGTAATCTAGTTGGTTAAAACTACAATTTCTCACATAAACATATAGAAAATGGTACCTTGCTTCTCAGTCCAAACAAAAAAACAAACGGCATTCTGGTAAACTTACTGTCTTAGACCGGATTTCTTTGGCGTAGAGAGGTTTCAAGAATTCTGAATCTCCTTCTAGCTTTAAACCTTTTTCTGTGATTCTTAGGTTCCCCATTCCATCCTGAAATACAGAAGAGGTTGCCACATTAAGTATGATTTTATAAACACTAGGCAGCCAAAATGTATATCTTGTTAAAAAAAAAACCCTTGTAAAACCCTGGGAGGCAAAATACAATGTAAGCATCCTTTTGGTTTAATCTTTTAGGAAAAATGTGTTTCAGTTGATCTGAAATGCCCCTTTCAACATTTATATGACAGGTTTTAAGTCAGAATACAACAGGCGAATCTGCTTCACAATAATTTCTTTCTAATAGGCAGCATACACTTATGTTCACCTATAAAGACTTTGCTGTCTTTATCTTCTCTCTCTCTTTCTCCCTCTTTTAATGCACACAATTCAGTGTTTTATTGTAATTCCAAGTTATAAAACACAGACAATTCTTCAGAAATCCTGTTTGTTTACCTAGAGATCCTAGAAATCTATACTGAAGAATTGAGAGAGAAGGATTTTGTTAAAATGCTGAAAAACAGTTTACTAGAATCTGAATTAATATTTTTTATAACTCTGCCCACCCCATAATTTACTTTGAATAATTTAAATCCATATAGGCAAGCAAAATGTATCCACATTACACATTTAACCTGAAAAGATTGACTGCCTGTTAAACTAGGCATTCTGGCCTAGTCAAAGATGCAATTACCATAAATATGTATGTATGTGGGAGGTACAGATGCAAAGGCCAAGTTATTATTGAAGAAATCTAAGAACTGCACCATTTCAAGTAACATTTCTAACATGCCAAACAATTAGGATGCAGAACATAAAGGAAAAAAAAATAGAGCTAACAACATGGCAGCATTTTCAATAATGCACTTTCAAAGACCTGTTAAATCAGGCAATGCGCAAAGTTCATCACCTTAAGGCACTGTATGGTATCTCCTTCTAATAAGAGTGCCAAAAGATTGTGAGATTTGAGCATTGGTTGATTTGACAAGTCTTAGAAAATGCATTACTGAAGTTGTAATGTTGCTACAACAACTCAATTTTTTCCTTTATGTTCTGCTTCCTCATTGTTTTGCATGTTAGAAATGTACTTGGCATTGTACAGTTCTTTGATTTTCTCAATAACAACTTTGCCTGTGTGTGCAGCAAAATATATTTTAAGAGATGGAGCAGTGTAGGCTAGTGGCAAGATGTTACACTGAGGCTTGGGAACCAGAAGCTAAAACATGAAACTCAGTCTCAGCCACAGATACAATACAGGATTGTTGTGTAGGTAAGGTAGAAAAGGGGAGCAATTCGTACTGAATGTTTCTTACCATGTCTCTGCTTCTTGGCATGGTGCTAGAGAGCAATATGTAATACTGGTCCACACCAGTGATTCCAAAACTTTGGTCCCACAGCATGTTTGGACTTCAACTCCCAGAAATTCCAGACTGTTTGATCAACTGTCATGAAAATGGTCAAAACATCTGGAAGACCAAAGTCTGAGAAACACTGCTCCACAGAAATCATGCAATAGCAACAATCACACTCTCTGTGGAGCGATGCTTCATGCTGCCCATTCTACTGTGACCCTGAGAAGGAAAGGAAGAAGTACAGAAACTTCTTTTAAGTAGACCTCATCAGGGACCATGATCATTGCTTGTGTAAGGGATGTAGCACACTTGTTCTAAGTAACAACCCCAATAGTCCATCATATAAGATAAGCAGTGATAATCAATTTGCAGCAATATCAGAAACAAGGCAATGTGCAATACAAGAAATTGCTGCTCAAAGGAACTCTATAATGATAATACATTGACTGTCTGTTCCTTTAATGAGTAAGAAAATACATTACTTTTTCAAATCAGCATTCCATGCTTTTGTAACCATATATCTCATTTTCTTCCCTTTCTTCCTCTTTCTTACCATGTTCCCCCTGAAAAAAAATCCACATTTCATCAAGCCACCTGCTTTCCATTTTACACCTGAAGCACCTTTGTCCTCAACCAGTATCATCATAGCAGCACCTTTTGATAGCCTCTTTCCTATCGTTTAGTCCTACCTTTGAATGGTGTCCATGAAGACTCTTCCCTTGCTAAACCTTTGACCCAGTCGTCTGCCATATATTGATTTCAAGTTTGTGAAAAATAGTTACTTCGAACGGAATCCATTAAACAACACTGTTTTATTATAATGGAAAGAAAAGAGGGAGATAGAAAGAAACCTGATAATCTACTATTCCCCCAGCTACACAGACACTGAATGGGGGCCAAAAGCTGACTAAATAAGAAAAAAAATTCAGCTGTTTTTCTCCCCAGCCCTGCTGACCATGCAAGGCAGTGAGCAGACTGAATACGCCTGAATGTATGATTTCAACTTAAATTAACATTTCCCCTTAAATCCTTAACAGTACTTTACCTAACCGGACTTGGTATGTCACTGCAAATCACATTTGGAAAAATGTGGGAGGGAAAAAACGAAATACACTGTGTTTCAATGTTGTTTAAAACACATTTTATAAGGAACCATCCTTTATAACAATGGTTCCTTATAAAATGAGACAACCAAAGATAGCAATTCCTGAGAAACAAGTTAGTGCAAGCTTATCGTGATTATGATGTTTAGGGTTCTGAACAGTAGCATGTGATTCCTAATATTTATTGAAGGCAAGGAAGACCATTGTGCATGTATGCACATTAGGTATTTCCCAAGTTTAGCCAGAGTCATAACTTATTTTCCTTCCACAGTTCAGCAAATATGAATTAGAATGTCATTGCTATTTCTACCATGTTCTTTGCTCTCAGAAGGTCAAGGCCCATGGCAAGAGATGAGGTCACTGAACCTGTGTATAGTTTCCAGTCCTGAACACTTCTCTGAATATCATAATCTGTCTTGCTAGACTAGGATTTCTTTAAGGAAGACATTTATGTTGACTACAAGGCTGACGATAGTTCTCTTCTACTTTGTTTAATTTTATTCATTTCTACACTGTATTTTCCTCAACCTGGAATAAAATGCAAAGAAACACAAAGCAGCAATCAAAACAAGTACAAATAATAACAGATTGTATATCTCTGTATTAATCTGCCTGTACTCTGAGATCCTCAGGAATGGCCGTTCTTTCAGTCCCACCACCATTGCAAACAAAGTTGGTGATGACTGAAAAGACAGTTTTCTCAGTGGTTGTCCCTCAACTCTGGAACTCCCTACTCTGGGAAATTAGAATGGTTCTTTTCCTGCTGTACTTTCAATGGCAGGGCAAAGTTTCTGGCAGTCTTTTAAGAAAGAAAGCTTTTAAGATCAAGTCGGGGTTATTTTGTGGTGCTATTTAATTGTTTTTAATGGCTATTTATTAATTAATTATTGTATTTTAATAACTAATTATAATTAATAATTAATAACTGTCCTAGTTTAATTCTGTTTTAGTATTTACATTTTGTGTGTTTTTAATTGTATATTTGTTAATATTATGAGTTGCTTTGAGATTAAAAACTGGACATTGATACTAATACTAACAACAACATCAACAACAACAACAAGGAATGTGAAAAAGTAGCAGTATAGGAGTCCCCCAGAGGACATCTTGCTCAGAGTCCATCAACCAGGGCAACACCACTGAACGCTTATGCAATGGTATGATATAAACTGAATAAGCAGAATGAAGCTTGGCAAAAATCCCTCAAAGAACTACCCCCCCCCCCTTCTCTGTGCCACTGGAAGGTCTTCTCTCCAGGGATTTCCAGCACTCTGGAGTACACAGTGGGTGCATTGCAGGGGTAAGAAGGAATCCCCTCTCTCTTTCCCACTGAAGTGTTTCTGATTCTGTGTGTAGAAATACATTGGGTTTTGGCTCTTCCTTCAAACAAGTCACATCTTGTTTACTGATCTATAAGAGGCTTCTGTTCTCTCTAAATATGTTCATCTTCCATAGATCGGATAGATTTTACAACTACCAGGGCTCCCTGACATAAGAGACAGCAGATTAGACTTGCTTGGGGCTGATAGGCAGGGGTTATCTATAGTTCCAGCAGTGGAAACAGATGGGAAATTTATATGCACAAACATACAAGACAGGAACTGGAATTCTGAAAATAAACCAAAATTGTGTGTAACAGAAAGCCTAGAATCCTTGCACATACAATTATAGACACTGAAATAATTATATACAAAAAAACACATCCTGCTTTTTAATAAAATCCCCAAAACTATAACTAGTTTTGGATAGAAAGAACATGCTCTCAAAGGGATATGAATTATTATAGAAAATGTTAATGAGACCCAAACGTTGGAATGGACTAATGAAGTGACATTGTGAACATTGTCATATTTTTGCTTGAAATACAAGCCTTGCTGTTACCCACAGGTGGCTACAGAAGGCTAGGGAGGGTTGGCACTTGCAAGGTTCCAGGGGAAAATCAAAAAGGATATAAAGCAAACTCTTTAGTACAATATAAGTGAAGTGCTCTGGTCTCAGAGGTGTGAGAATGAATGCTATCATACAATATTGAAAAGGACGTAGTAAGCAACCCCTCAAGTGAAATGCATCCCATGAACTGTATTGATTATTAGACAGGACTGCACAGTAAGAGATGGGTAATAAGGAGCAAATTGCTAAAGTATCAGCTGATAAAACACCAGTTTATGCATTCTGGTCAGACTGTATTGAGCTTTAACTGAAACATAAAGAGAAAGGGATAAAAATGTGATTAGGGAAGCACAAAGCAATTCAGAATACATTCCCACAATGGTCTCATTTGCTACTCCGGCATGGAGAATTATTTCAGATGTTTATAAATCTGGTATACAAAATACATCTGTCAAAGCTGTGGTAATACTGAAAGAGGTTTGTCCTGGAATTGTCAGAAAGGTCAGGAGACTCCAGGATATTTACACAGTGGGCAGGCACTGCTATCCTTCTGTCTAGCCAAAGTACAGGTCAGGAAATCTAGTTCTATTCAAGATCCAAGAGAATGGCCTCCTCAGTGAAGAATAGCCTCGTGCTTACATCTCAATATGTCTGATACAGCCAATGATTGGTCTTTGTTTCAGGGGACAAGAGGCAAGGACCTTGTTCA